AATTCTAAATCGTGGCGTGTCAGCTTTGACTACTCCAAAGCAGTTGTAAGAGCAGTTACATTTTTGGCAAGGGTTCAAAAGCTGTACAATTAAGTCATAATAAAAAAAAGGTGTATTGCAGGACGCACTCTGGATAGCTTTATTTTGAAATGTCATCTCCTGGTGGACACTCACAAGTCAGATTCTTTTGGAAATTCATTGGGTGACTCGAGTCAAATCCAGACTTTCAGGAGTCTGTTAGTTCTGGATTACTTCGTCTCTGGATGCCCAGACTGAGATATCTGGGCACTGATTTTAAGCTCCTGTGAACTTCAATTGATAAATAGGTGCACAACTTCTCTGGACAGTCCGTTTCGATTTCCCACTGAGAATTCAGGAGTAGAGCTGAAGCAGTGCTTCTGTTTTCTCGTAAATTTAACACAGTTGTTAGGGAGAACTTTTTTTGAGGAGAAAGCAGGTTCATGCCTTAAGACATTTCAGTAATACATGTTGTGGAACTATTAATTAATGTTTTGTTTTTATGAAATGATATGGGGATATGAAATATTGGTTAGGGACCCAATATCAATTCTTGCATCGAACTACAGATATTTGCAAGTTTTGAAAAAACTGAGAATACTGTTAAATTATTTTACATTGATCAGGAGTAACGTCTAGGTCTATTCAAAAAGGGCTTCCAGAGTTCTCACGGAGATTCTTTACTATTACTAATCTAGAAACAGACTGCTATTTTCAAAAGCACCATAAGGCTTTTAGAAGCACATTTTAATATATTGATTATATGTTTCTTTATTGCATATAATACTGCAGTTTCGAGTGAGGTTTGATTTTTTTGCCGTGCATCAAGGAAATGCAATATTTTTAGATTTTAAATCCTGATATATTTCAACAGTAATATCAAATGATAATTACTTCTTTGGTGAAGAATCCAATTTCCTGGATTGCTTTAATGATGGAAGCAAAATTGTAATGCACCAATATTTGTACAGTGAGGTGATTCTGAGTGTAAGTAAACAGGAAAAAGCTGTGTGGCGGAGTTTGACTCTCTGATCAGAACTGCTGCTCATACATTAGGTGAGTTAGTGATGGGCTCAAATACTGAGTTTAGATTAGGAATGGAAAGTTCCAATGGTGTTCACATGGGGATTTAGGTTAAGAAGAGCAATGAGTATGTATAATGGTATGTTCCGATATAGTCATTCCGTAAGAGTCTGCAAATCCAGGTTTTTCGGTAGATGGGTCAGATAAGCCTGCAAAAAAGCACTGAAACAACCCAAATTTCCATAAGTGTGCATAGCAGAAAATAACATCAGAGTCAGAGGCATCCAGAACCTGTTCTTATCCGTGATCCAAATTCTTACATTTTCTCTGTGGATTTCCTCATGTGACATTTGGACAGAGAGATTTGATTGAAGGAACTCCTATAACTAGTCTGATTATAACCGTGTGATACTAGAGCTTGATCCAAAGCATATGGAAATCAACTGAAAGAGCACTGATACTTAATGGAATTTTAATCAGGTATATTGTGTGGCCTGCAGTTTCCCACAGTTAGGGGCGTGGAATACATGAAGTTTATGTAGAAATAAGGTTTATTCCTTCCAGGGGTCTGTGAATGACTGGCCTTCGCTGACAATATTTGGTAGTGTGGCCACAGCTAAAAGGAGAACGTGAAAGGGCAGGAGGTGAATCTACAACCACAATCATTTTTGTGCAGCTCAAGCACAGTTATGAATACTGGAGCAGTCAAAGAAAGTATTAGAGAAGAGTGGTTATTTTCAGTTAGTTTTGAGATCTTAGGTCTTGGATATTTCAGAGTTTTTATTTTAAATATTTTTGTGATACAGTCTGATGTTAAAAAGAAAATGGCAAGAATAATCCTTGATTCTGCATTATTCATTTTCATAACTTAATCTTACTGCTGTTTCTAAACAGCCTTTTAATTTCCTTTCATTTACCAAAATGACAACTCTTCAAACTTTCTGCACAGGTATTGTCAGTGAAGCCGGTCTTAAACAAGTAAGTATTAGGTTCAGTATTCACCAGTGATTCCTGCCATGCCTCAGGGCACTTAAAAGCCAAACACAGACTTCAAGATTTTTGTGTATGTCTTTTTGAGTATCTTGTGATTTCCTAGCTTAAATTACTGCTTGTGCACAGGGAATTTTGTCCTCATATTTTGCAGAACTCTTCTTTCTTGTTTTGTTGCTCGCTTTCCAGACATCAAACTGCACTTCATTAGGTAACATCTGGTTACAGGGAGACTCTGCCTTTTGTAGCACTGAAAAAAAAAATGACTGCTCAGACCAGCAGCAGCATTTCTGCTGTTTTATTTTCTGTACGAAAAGGAAAAATAATACATGGGACACATACATTAGAAACAAGATTTCTAAAACAGAATAATTTCAGTATACCACTATTGTTTTGCACTGTTACACAAATTGTACCTCTGCAGGTACCTTGTTTTGTTTTACTCTGGATCTGTTTTTCACATTTGAGCTTGGCAATGGTGTCCTCAAAGTCAGTGCCAGGACTTCATCTCTGTTGCTTTATAAGCAAATTTGGAAAAGGAGAAAATTATGTTCATGTGACTGCAAAGATCAGTCATGCTAATGTTTTACTACACTGATTAAACAGATATAGAAACACATTTTTCTTGTACTAAGTGGAAAAAAAAATGGTAAAAGTTTGTGCCAAGAACCTTCATTTTTATCAGCGTCCTTTTAACACTTCTGTATGTACAAAGAGCATTGCTTCTGCTAAAATTAGTTTTGCTGCTTTGCTGTTTTTATAAATGAATCATTTGTCTTCAGAATGATTCTGACTCCCTCATGCTTCTCTTTTTCCCCTACCAGTAACACAGTGTATACCACAGTAATGAGCGCTGCATTTCCAGATAAGTACAGGACGTGGATCAGGACTGTGACATGAAAAGGGGTAAGTAGCATGTTGGTACTCTAGCTAGTGAAGAGTCACTGAGGCACAAAACGTTGCAGTGGCGTCAAGTAATGTAGTTGGAATTCCTGACTCTCCCTTGGTTTGCTTCTTGACCTTGGGCAAATAGCTTTTCTTGCTGTTTTAGAGATAGAGTTAAGTACTGACTTCCTTTGCAAACCCTTTATTGCACCTCAGAAAAAGTGCCTTATCAGAGTGAGTGGTGTTGTTACCTAAAGGTAGCACCTCTTGAGATAAACCTTTTATCTATTATTTTTACAAATCTCATTCCTGGGAAACAACCCAGGTGGTTGGCTATGACAGTCATGCCCGTAGTGAGCTGAACCCCAGCAGGAGAGGGCTCTACACTTGGCACCAAGAAGGATCAGGCTTAGTCTATGGCAGTCCCTCACAGACAACTGACCATGATGATCCTCTGGGGCGTTTGTCTTACGGACATGCAGAAAAATGGCAAGTGCTTGAACTCCCCAGGTGTTCTCCACATCAGAGTTGTGATGTGTTCAGAGGAAGGTACTAAGTTATGTTTACTTCTGTTCCAAGAAACTGCTTGCGTGTGATTGGCAGGAGCATGAGGAGCTGCATTCCAGTTTGAGTAGTTTATTTTAAACTATTCTTGGATCTTAGTGGTAGCAGTTGTACTGGGCAACTACTATAATACAGCTGATTATAGAAGTATTAATTCATTTCATCTGGAGATTCTAAAGACTTTGCTTTCTTTCCTGACTTTATATGAGCCTATGCTCCCTTATTTATCTATCTGTCTGTCTATCTATTTATTTATTTCAACAGACAAAATGGGTGAAATGCTGAAGGTTTCCAAGACCAGCACATACTTTTAAAAGTACTCTTAAAAGCACTGCAGTTGTTTTGCCTATTAATTACATGAACTATTCAGGTAATAATGACTTGTTAGTTCTTTGAAATGTTACCAAATGATACCGTTAATGAACAATAGTAGAAGTTTGGTTTCATTTTAACTGCAATGATGTTCTAACAGGCATTTATGGCTACAAAGTATTTTTACTGCTCTTGGAAATAGTTATTGTGCAATTTGAATGTACTCACGTAATTAATAATAAATAAAAAGAAAAGTTTATATTTTTGCTTGTGCTGTAGGTTTGCATATAATGAAATAAAGATGTGCAGCTGGTTGTCTGATTTATGAAGACCTCTAATATTGCTGTTTATGTCGTAGTCTTTTTCTCTGACACGTGGCGGGTGTATGGTCCTGAGTCTAACAGGACTGGTTCTCTGATGGACAAACCCCTTTAACTCTTTTTACGAGGGTTTTGAAAGGTGACTGGGAGGCATGTAGTCCAAAGGAGGCTCCTACATAATGTTAAAAGCCCTTGCCTTCTGGTAGTAGATAAGGTGTTTAACCACAGTGGGAGAATTTTCCATCAGTTTAAGGAATGTAAGGCAAGGAAACATGGCTAGATGGAGTAGCCCTGTGGGGAGCCGTACATTATTGTGTTTTTATTCATGTGATACATGAGAGAAGTCTGTGATCTGATAGCACGTGCTTTAGGCGCACATTCGAAAGCTGCCTTCAGTAGAAGGTTTACAACTAACTTCTCTAGTGTATCCATTTTTGGTTGGTCTGCTTATGCTGTGCCTGTGAATTGTCAATGCAGGCATTTCGTGGAAGCAGAGCAGGAATATGAAAGGACTGTGCAGTCAAGATCAGTGGATACCTTTACATATAGCTTAAAGGTTTGATTCTTCATTGGAAAAAAATCCCACTAATGTCAGTGAGAATTTTACCTGGGAGAGGATGATGCAGAAAGATTGTTAGATCTTCAAATAGAAAATTTCTCCCATGACTTCAAGCACAGAGGCCCTTTGGTGATGTCTCATGTATGCAGCTTGGTGTGTGTTGTACTTAGAGACAATAACCCCTTGTTCTTTCTTGGTTCCTGTGATGAATAAAACAGATAGAAATATTTTGGCAGCCTTTAGGGGAAGAACACTCGCCTGTACAGGGTCCAAGGGGTGCTTGCCTGTGGCCAGAGCACCATTTGCAGGCATTGCAATGCTGCCTGCGGTATTTGCACATGGGTTAGGCAGACTTCCTGAGAGAGCCTTCCGGAGGAGTGGGCCCTTGATCGTCCTGCACTAGTCTTGCTCAGTGTCATAACCTGCTTACCTGCATCCTCTGCTTCTGCCCGGATAAATGCACCACAAGCTTTGCCTTGACCCACTTTGCACAACGCTGTTACGAGGACTCCTGTGCCAGAACTGATGCCGTTGAAAAGCAGAGGTTCCTGAGGAACAATACAAAAGAGATCACAGTATCTTAGATAAAACTTCACATCAATACTGCTTGAGTTCACAGAGCGGACAAGGACTCCTGATCCCAGAAGGTTTCCTTTATTCAACAGCCACCCGCAACTAGAGGGAAAAAGATCCTCACCTGTGCAATTTAGCATGGTCTTCTTGCCTTGGCTGTGTAAGGCCAAACAGCCTCTGGCAATGGATGTGGCCAGATTCTCTGTGGTTTGTAAAATAGTATCTTCATTTCCATGTTATTCATGAATATATATATATAAGCTCTGTTCCTGTTCGTCTCATTAGCTGTGAAGAACTTGCTTAGGTCCAGACACCAAGTGGCATATTGAAAGATTTTTTATTTTTGTATTTTAAACAAGAAAGAAAGGAGACTAGTTTTAAAGAAGTTGATTTTATTTTTATTTTGTATTTTTTAAATGAAAGTCTTGCATTTCCTCAGTTCATAAAGGTTCACATATCCAGATGCCAAGCAGAAGAGTATATGTTAATCTAAATGTTTTTTTTTCTTGCTAATCGAGGGAATATTTAGCTTTCAGGTTGTAGCAATGTAATTACGTGCTAAAAATACAAACAGTAAGAAAGTTATTAATGATGTATCTTATGAAATAATTATTTAACCTGTGAAATGAGTGTTGTGTTGTTTTTGTGTAAGAATTGAAATTTGATGAAAATAAGAGCATTTTTCATAGCTTAAAACCATTTTAGCAATGCCAGATGGGGAAGAAAACATGAAATATAGTAGTTTTTAAAGGTTTGGTGGATTCGGGAAGTTTTTGTTTTCTGCTTTTAAATAAAGGAAGAATCACTTGTAGATAATCGAATTGCTTGCATCCTCCTGCTTTGATTCCTGTATGGCAGACTCCCTATCTACAAAGCCCAAAGATTTTTCTGACGAAAATGGGGAGTGAAACCTTTAAATCTTCTGGAAGTTTGCATTAACAAAAGGCAACTGGAATGTGTGTAAGAGCAGATTTGTTGTTTAAGATGAGAGGAGCCAGCGTATTGCATTTCTCATTCATAATCCCCTTTGGTAATCCTAATCCATTTCAGATCTGTGGCCTTTCTTAAGCATCACATGGGAGGGTACTTAAGGCTGCTCAAAACAACTGTGCAGTAAATAAATTGAAGGTTCTGCGCTTGTTGCAGAACAGTGCGCACATCTTGTGCTGTAAGTCCTGAAAGAGATGGAGTCTCCACTGAGTGGCCAAGGGAGCAGCTTACTTGATAGCTTAGGTCTGTGAGGAGGAGTTTCTGAATCGAACCAAGTAAATCACTTCAAAGATTATTGATTAGTTTCAATTTTGAATGCTGGTTATATAAGCATATAAACAAACAAACAAAATCAATTTTATAAGGTGGAGTCCTTCTGTGCTGTGTATCCTTAAGTTACAAATTGGTGACAAGGTAAGTTGTATTTCTCATTTTGTTTTCTCTGTAACAATGTTCTGTGTGCAGAAGTAGTTAGTAAGCTTCCATAGTTAGAGGTAAAATAGGCTTTTTTTTGTATGTCACACTCTGTAAAATTATTGGAATTTTCTAACTGAAATTCTCCTTTTTTGGTGTTGCAGTAACTGTTCAGGTGCAGAGGTCAGTGCATATATAAAATAAAACAAGCTTCATCTTCTGTTTCCAGCTGGGAGCAGCGCTGAATCGGATGTACACATGGGACATAGGTATTTACTCTTGGAAGTAAAGGCACGATCATCACTTTCCCTTGTGCTAGCTAGCAGCTTTATTCTTGTGGGCCTTTTATTGGATTTTTTTTATTATTGTTGTTCACTGGTAGCTCTTAAATGACTTCTTGCTTTTTCTTTTTTAGCAGAACTTAAATTTATTACCTTCTACCATCCACTTCTTTCAGTATTTTTTTCTAGTAAGTCTGCCTTGTCCTCCAGATTAATCCCTTTCCTCCATTGTCTCTGTTTCCCAACCCTTTCTTCAGTTGTCTAAACGTCCGTAACATTGTCAAGACAGTGGGCTTTCTGTTGCGTATATGAAATGTGTCATCTTTCCTGGGAGGATTTATTTTATTTTATTTTATTTTATTTTATTTTATTTTATTTTATTTTATTTTATTTTATTTTTTTTATTTTATTATTTATTTATTATTTATTATTTTTATTTGCTGTTTGGTATGCCAGAGAAATCTGGTGCTCCTGGCGAAGGCCTGTAGTTATTTGTACTCTGAGCAGGTTTGGAATGTGTAGAATTTGAGCCCAAATTGTTTCACTTGTTTTGGTTTTGAAGGAGTTAAAAGTAGTAGTCATGGTAAGCCAGGAAATTCCTCTATGCTTTTTTGTTTGTTTTAGGGATTTTTGTCCTTAAATTTACACAAATGGATTTGTGCAAGTGTTCCCTTAGTCAATTTTATGTCTTTTAATGTTTTTGATCAATTTTGTGCTTATGTTGTTGCAAAAGAGAGTGTATCATCCCTATATACATATAGAGATGTTAGAAACTTACATATAGAGATGTTAGAAACTTCTCCTGACTTCGGAGGCTAACTGGTGAGTAGAGAAAGTGCATCTTTTCTGTGTGCATGGTGTCCAGTTGGAACCTTAAGCTTCGCTGTTCTGCCAGTTGTCTGTGTGTGTGCCTGTCTGAATCTACACGTTCTCATGCCATTAACGTCCTGGCCTGAGATGGCAGGTTTTACCACCTTGTTTTGTTTACACATACATTTGCTAGGGGATGCACCTTGCAGCATTGTGTCCCAGGGAAAGTCATGAGCTGAGGCTGAGACGTGTGTGATGGGACTTCCTTTTTCTTGCCTACAGGTTTTAAGGTAGTAGAGAGGTGCCTGTCACTGCTGGGTAGATGAGGGAGGATCAGATGTGCTGAACGGTTGGCCTGGCTTTATTTCTTCCTCCCTCCTTCCGCCCTTGAAACAGGTTTGATATTATTGAAGTCTCCAGTTTATTGCTGTGCTTGGGTCAGGCCTCTGTCTTCAGAAGAATCTGAGGGTAAGGAGATGAAAAAGTTTGCATATGCAGGAGTTGCCTGAAAGAGATGTTTTGCAAGACCTTTGAGTACAAGGGAAATGGGTAGGTGACAATGCCTGTGCTTGCTCTCTGCAGTTGTGCCATACCTATATCTGGACCTCCGCAATTTCCGTTTAAAGTAGGGCTGTGAAAAATTAAAAAAACCCTTATGGGTGTTTTGGGGGGAAGGGAAACAAGTTCCAGTTTTATTCTGTGCATCCAAAGTTGGTTTCAGAGAGATGTTTAAATTTCCATCTAAAAAAACCTCCCAAGATCACACCTTGCAAAAGAGGCAGTACTTGTGAACACATCCCGGGCAAGTCAGGTACTGGACTCTGTTCTTCAGCATTTGCTTAAAATGTGTTCTTCATTTTTTAGGCATGACCTGGAAGTGTTGCAGGTCCTGAAAAAAGGATTTTTTCTCCTGGCTATATTTTGTGAAGGTTCTTTAAACATACTCTTTTCTGAAAAGCTGCAGGCTTTCGTTAAAAACATTAATGCTATTGAAGAACCTGATACTAAAGATACAGATGTAGTGTGTGTGCCTCGGAGGAGAAGTTGATCACAGTACCCATGTTTCAGATTTTTGCCATGGGTCTGGTCCTGTGGACTGAACTTCCGTTAGTATCCGGAGTGTGTCCTTGGCGTCAGTTCATCTGAGAGGAGCCTGTTTCAGCCGTGTATACCAGGATGCAATAAGTAGAGGTCATTGGGGATGTTTGTTTCTAAAATGCACTGCTCATACGAGGTAATGCTCATTCACGTCTGCTTCACTGGATATCTAATACTTACTTGAAACAATCATATTTCTCTCTGTGGAATGCTACTTTTACTTGGATATCCAAATGTGGATTTACAAGCCAACCCTCAGAAGTTCTTGGCTTGCAAATTTGTAAGGTTTTTTCTGAAATGGGATTTGTCTTGACCAGGTGGGAATAAACAGGAGCCTTAAGTGCTAGGTATTCTGATTTTTGCGTGTGATTGTCCTTTTGGGTACGTACTCACTTGGGAAACAGTCAGAGTATGTGCATTATTAAGAATGAGGAGCATAATCTACCAAATGTAGTTACTTGGGCATAATTCAGCAGTGGCTTCATGACATGTTTAATCTTGATAGGAATGAAATAATGGGTAGTAAATTAAAATGGAACAATGAATAAAATCTACAGGGACTGGTACATTGTTGGCAGCATTACCATGTATTGTGTTGCTTTACCTGGTTAATGGGAAGATGCCGTTGTGCAGTTCAGCTTTCTGGGCAGGATGGAGAATTTCAGCATTTCATTCTACCTGGAAACTTCTTGGTCTGAAGTGTTAGCAAGGTCGGCATCCGACTGAACACTCTGGGCAGCTTTGTCCTTCCCGTGCAAGTTGAGCTGGGCAAGTCATTTCCTCCTGCGGCCTCTCAGTTTGAAATGTTTTTTTAATGGTTTGCCAGGATCAGGGCTGTGATGAGTATTTCACCCTGCGTTTTCTGCAGTGAGCACACAATTTTCAGGTGAACTGGTCTTACCTGCTGACATAGATGAACTGTGATTTTAGACTTTTTTTTTCCTATTTAAATTTGATGTTTAATACGGGATGATTTACCCCATATTTTTACAGTTGCATCTTTCACAAGATCAAAATGGATTATCTTCCTGCACAATGTACATATATACCTTATACAGTATATATCATATACTTTTATCATAATGGAAGGTCATATTCCTTTCGTTAGAATTTCTTCCCAGGAAGATGTGGGATGGGGAAATGAGATTGCAGTAGGCAAGTTGCAGGAAGTGGGAAAAGGAGGAGCAGGGCTGTTTATCCTCTGCTGCTTAGAAAAAGTGCCCTTGTAGACCCTTTCTCTTGACCCTTTAAAGTCCTTAGAGATGTGGTCTGCTGCTAGCATGACCTAGTTTTCATAACTGATTTTTACCTTCTTTTCTCAGCCTTTTTCCCTCTCTAGTTACTATGCGATACAGCCTGGGACTGCTCTGGCAGTGGTACATGGTGCTTTGTGCTCCTTCTGTGTTTTTTATCCAAAGGAAACATGACCAAGAGTGAAAGAAGGAATGTGCTGCTTCATTTTTGCATCCATTTGCTCTGGGTAGACTATCTCTGCAACAGTGAGATAGAAGTCTGGCAGTCCTGCCCTTTTTATGCTGGCAAGGGTCTGAGCAACTGCTTGCTGGTATAATACACCCCCACGCTCAAGCAGATCTGCGAGGTGAAGAAAAGCAGTATTTATTTAACAAAGCTGATTATTTTCTTATGACAGCTAATTGTTATTTTAGACTCCAGCTGTGGAACTGCAAATAGATTTAAATACCATCTGTGTGTTCATCCCTCATAATTAGAGTTACCCTTCATAGGGGACCTGTGCTTGCATATCTGTCTGCAAATCTTGAAATGCTTGTTAATCAAGTCACTTAATTACATTTTTGCTTCCAGATTAGTATGCAAGACATGCTTTCTTTTCTGTATAGTGTGTGAGTGCCTCCAACATCCAATCATGTGCAGGAATTAAGCACCTTTTACTTCCATCCAATCATGTGCAGGAATTAAGCACATGTCTAGTGCTTAATCTAGTCCCTTCAGTTGCATATGAGGAAGAGGGGAGGTGGGGAGATTGAAAGATGTATTCTGCTCAGAGCATGATTTACAATTTATCTGCATACAGATTTTTCTTTCCACCCCAGTCTGAAAATGTGAGTACATGAATGCCTGAATTATACATTTACTGTACAGCTATAGTAGCTAAATACGTAATCTCTGACATTTATATGTAACTAGCCAAGGTGCTGTAATTATTACTGTTCTCATAGCTGACTTGAATCTCGAAGGACTAACACAAAAATTGCCCTGTCAGATAGTCTAGAAGACCACAAAGTAGGGGAAAACCTGGTAGTAGGAAATGTACTTGTGCACAAGACAGGCCATCTGCTTGGTGATCTTAATAAGTGTTGATATGTTTAATTATAGACTCCCAGCCCTGCACGTTGCAACCGGTTTGATTCTGACTGAATGCACTTTCCTGCATCTCTTGCATGGTTTTGGTGATACTGGGTCAGTCTGCAGCAGTCTGCAATCCTAGGAGTATTGGCTGGAGAACATGGGAACTGGTAGTTCTGTAAATGCCAACTTCAAGTACTCCCTGCAGAAGTCTGAAAATGGTGAGTGATTCTTTGAAACTGAATCTTTCCCTGGCTGGACGTGTACATCCTCTTGGAAAGTTGTGGTAGATATATTTTTCAGAATGACCTAATTTTTATAGTATTGAGGCATGGATTATGTCTTTGAAGATCTTCTGAAGAGCAATCCCAGCTGTCATGCTGAAAATCAATACTGGACTTCAGAAAATAACAGCTATTTAGACTATAGCGAGATTAAAATCATTCAAAATCTCACTGGAAATGAAGCAACAAAAAGCAATGTTGTTGGAACTGACACCAGATGAGTTAATCAGTTGCAGGTTAACATATGTGTGTTATAACCATATATTCTGACAATGAGATAAAAAATATCATCCTGATGCTTCTGGTGGACTTCATATTTCTTGAATGTTTTAGAAATACGGGACTGGTAAAGCATTAGCAAAGCCAGAAAAAGCTGGTTCTATAGCAGGTAGGATATTGTGGCTAAGAAAAGCTGAAAGCACAAGATATGTTATGTGCTTTTTTTATGTTAGTATGTCAGTACAAGGTCATGATCTCTGCTCATAAGCACGATTTGTCTGCAAGTCCTCCAAGTAATGATTGATTTTTATGAAACTGTCTGTATGATAATACCAGGATGGTGTGTGTGTGTACTCTGATCTGCTGTGGCACAAACAGTGTCCATCACTGAGACTTTACACGTTAGGAAGTGTAAAAAAGTAAAGTAACTTTATTGGTTCCTACAGTCATCTACGCTGGCAGTCCAGCAGTTTGGTACAAACTGTTTGCAATTGCCTCAAAAGCAAAACCATTAATTTTATTTAGAAATTAAGAGAGTGGGAATACTGTGGGAATATTGTGATTCAGCATTATTCATTTCTAACATTTGTTTGTCAAAAAGTTCCACTTTTTCTTTAAATAAGTCAGAGTTTGTCTACTGGCTGTAGCACCAGAGAACCAAGGATGTTCCCAGCAAGTTCAGGACTACCTGGTGACTGTGCAGGAGTTTATCCGTAAAATCCAAAAAGTAACAAAGATCTAGTTATGTGTTTGAGGCTATGCATGAGGCCTGATACTTTATCAAAAATTTATCATGTCTGTAAAATCTCAGTGAATTTCTGCATTCCTTTCAAACTCCTTTAGAAATGGTAATGTGCAGATGTGGAGTTGTTTAAGAGTGGGCCAGACCCTCAGCTGGTATCAGGTGACAAGAGCTAATGGAGATGCACAGCTTAATTAGTTAAATCTTACTGGATAAAATCTTAATATTGGGTAGAACTTGTTCTGCTTATGTCAGTTTAAAGTATACCAAGAAATGCTCCTTAGCTTGTATTTTCTCTCTTTAAAATTTAACATAGTTCAAAACAGCTGATGTTAGAATAGGCTTTCCAATTTGATTAAGCTGTTATTAAAACCATCCTCTAGCCATCTGCTTGTATTTCTTACGTGTCCTTCTCAGGGAATCTTACTAGCTGGCACTCATCCATGCAACGGACCTAAAAGGATAGTCCTGGAATACCCGCTTTTAGGCAATTGATTTCATTATTGGCTATTTCAGGAGAAAAAAAAAAAAGGCAATATTTTTTCACTGCTGATTTGTTTTCTGAACTACATTCCTAGTCTAAAATGGCTTATTTTATTCAAAATGCTGCTGCTTTGGCATACTTTCAGAGGCTTGTGCAATGATGTATGATTCAGTTTACTGCTTAGATCCTCATAGAATGTGGATAAATCTGTTTCTCTTCCTTTTTTATTATTTTTTTTCCTAAACTAGTACAAACACTGCCAGATGCAACTCACCCAGGTAAGCTGGTAAAGTAGAATACCTGGCTTTTGCAGTTGCAGTTTCAATTTAAAAGTAGCATAAGAAAATAATGGCTTGCCTATCTGAAGCTTGAAAACATGTGGATGGTGATTCGTGTAGTCACTGTACTTGATAATGGGGCTTTCGTAGATTTAATGTTTCAAAGAGTTTGGATTTCACTGTTGTGTGTGGAGGTGTAACTGTAAACTTCTGCTCAGGATGAGGTTAACATGTGTGAGTCCTACTGCAGTAATTGGACATTATGTTGGTTATTAAGGGATGTGACGTGTTCAGAAACTGTTTCTTTTAGGCGGTGATTACCACTGTGATTTTGGTTATGTCTCAGTCAAATTGCTATACAGGAAATAAAGAAGCTAGTGTTGGGTCTGTTCTACTGGTGGGTTGAGGAGGCAACGTCAGAAGTGCTAAACTGCAGAAAGAAAAATCAGCATTTTTCTTTTTTCCATGGCCCAGCAGATCAGAAAACACACTCACACGAAGGTACAGGGTACATAAGCTATTCATACTGTTTTTAAACAGAGTCCTACCTTCTTACCTAAGACTTCAGTGGCACTCAGTTCCCCATTTGCAGAACAGCAGTAGCTTTTCCCTTTCCAGGCTCTGCCCATTTCAAGCTTGAGCTCTTGGGAACACCAGCTACCTCCAACTAGATGTAGGAAAAACAGCTCCCAGCCATGTTTTGGTAACATAATTTAGAAGGATTATTAGTTTCAACGCATAAGCCTTCAG